GTTCAAATCTCCTTGGGTTAAAAAATAAGGTTCGTCATTACTCTTCATAGTTCATCCTTTCATACCTCATCCGAAAAGGTTAGAAATAGTCGATATTTCCCCTTGAAATAAAATTTTAATTTGTCGTTGAAAAGAAACTCATGCGGTGTAACTTCTAGTGTCGTTTTACAATCACAAGCCGCAGTGTATTATATTGTAATTATAAGTTACTTTATGTATCATTTACGAACGGAAAAATACGTCCAGGGTAGCCTAGTGGAAATGGCATCCGCCCGGTAAGCGGAACATTGTGGGTTCGATTCCCATCCCTGGACACTTTAATTTTTCCGTTCGTCATTACTCTTCATAATTCATCCTTTCATACCTCATCCAAAAAGGTTAGAAATAGTCGATATTTCACCTTGAAATAAAATTTTAATTTGTCGTTGAAAAGAAACTCATGCGGTGTAACTTCTAGTGTCGTTTTACAATCACAAGCCGCAGTGTATTATATTGTAATTATAAGTTACTTTATGTATCATTTACGAACGGAAAATACGTCCAGGGTAGCCTAGTAGACATGGCATCTGCCCGGTAAGCGGAACATTGTTGGTTCGATTCCCATCCCTGGACACTTTTATTTTTCCGTTCGTCATTACTCTTAATAATTCATCCTTTCATACCTCATCCAAAAAGGTTAGAAATAGTCGATATTTCACCTTGAAATAAAATTTTAATTTGTCGTTGAAAAGAAACTCATGCGGTGTAACTTCTAGTGTCGTTTTATAAATTACTTTGTTTAAATTCTATTTCACAAATTATATTTTACTTATTTTTTTTTCAATAACTATAGGTGTAGATGTTTTTGTTGAAAATTGTGAAATGCATCAAATATATTCAAAACCCATTTTTGTTTTTGATTTTTGGCCTAAATAATTTGTGGTAGGCCGACATGTACACAAGTAGAATAAAAGCTTCAATTAAAATAATAGAAGGCCAAAAATTAATGTTTGGCTCACGTCAGAGCGTTAATTAAAATATTAATATAAAAGGTGTTTTCAGTTCATTTCATGTTTTTATTACCATTTTTATAATTTAGTAACTCTCCGTTAAGAGGACATTTGTCCCTGAAGGACACTTTGGCTCTGCAATTAGGTGTCCATTACAGAGAGGTTATACTGTACTAGTTTGTGTCCATAGGTTCTTTATATTTGTCGTTATTTTTTCAAAGAAAATTATGGGTCAATATTTTGAGAATTCATTGTGACGCGACATTTTACGCTCTAAACACTGGAAAAACTCAGGCCTCTTGAGGATTAGATGGACTCTTTCAAATGTGTATTCAGACTCTAAGTTGGCGGTATCGTTGGCAAATAAGTGCAAAAATGCTAATTAGATACGTTGAAAGTAGTCGATGTATATGTCGAATAAGATTGGGCCAGTGACAAAGCTTGAGGTATACCAGCTATGCTTTTCCTGGATGTTGACAATCCAACTTTTACCTCCACCTTGAACTTTCTGTTCGCCAGAAATCTTTTGTCATTTTAATGAAGTCTCGGGGCACGTGTTTTACAAACATCTCATAGAGAAGGGCCTCACGACAAACTTTTTGAATGCATTGGATAAGTCTAAAAACACGGTTATAGTTATTTTGCGCAGCGCGATTGCTTGTCCTATTTTTCCTTCACCACTAACAGTTGGTGCAACATTGAGTTTGTAGGTTGATATTACAATTATTCTGGTCTTGGAAGGTCTTTTTGTTAAGTGACTTTCTCAATCTTCTTAATATTATTCTTTCGAATATTTTGGATATGCTGGTAGCGAGGAGATAGGCCTTTAACTTGAAGGATCTTGGTTTGATTTTCTATCTCTGAGTTAGCTCATGATCTATGTACATCTAAACTCTTAAAATTTCTAGGTTTTAATATTTCGTCGTTGCTGATTTGATTTCTTTATCAGTTAAATCATGTGAAAAGGCTTTGAACATATTATCTTTATCTATATATATAAAAATGAATGTTTGTATGTTTGTTTGTTTGTATGTCCGGTATACAAATTCGCAGTAGTTCACTAATTCAAACCAAAATTTCCATACATAGGTAAAAAATACGGGAAAGACGATAGGCTATTTTAAAAATATATATAAATTAATTATTAACACGTGACCTCCCTGTGCGCGCGCATCCGTGACAGAGGCGGCCGATGAGGAATGAGGAAAGACGGTCGTGACTATATATATTAATAATAATATAATAATAATAATAATTATTATTATCATTAGATAATGATAATGATCATAATGATGATGCGCGCGCATCCGTGACAGCGGCCGATGAGGAATTGAGGAAAGACGGTCGTGACTATATATATTAACTAGACGAATGGCCCGGGCAACGCCCGGGTTTTACCCGAGTGCGTATATATTTTTAAAATGTTTTAATTAAAATACTATTCGTTACAATTATAAATTGGCGCCGTGGATGTCTCTCTTATGAAACGTCCCGCCCCAAACTGTGTGTGTCTTGAAAATATAAAATAAAAATGTGAACGGAAAAATATGTCCAGGGTAGCCTAGTGGTCATGGCATCTGCCCGGTAAGCGGAAGGTCATGGGTTCGATTCCCATCCCTTGACACTTTTTTATTTTATCCATTCTGACCAAAATCTATCCGTGGACTTCACACAGTGAACTTCACACAGACAGAATAGGGCAATTATATAAGTATATAATCCAAATTGTGCCTTATCACACACTATTTTTTTATTTGGCCTTATTACCTTGTGTTTATAATCTATGACGTAATGCCGGCGGCGCGCGCCCGTTGGCTGCCGGCGAGCACGTGACCTCCCTGTGCGCGCGCATCCGTGACAGCGATGAGGAATTGAGGAAAGACGGTCGTGACTATATATATTAATAATAATAATATAATACTAATAATTATTATTATTATCATTAGATAATGATAATGATCATAATGATGATGCCCGCGCAACCGTGACAGCGATGAGGAATTGATTGAGGAAAGACGGTCGTGACTATATATATTGATAATAATAATAATAATAATATAATAATAATAATAATTATTATTATCATTAGATAATGATAATGATCATAATGATGATGCGCGCGCATCCGTGACATGACGGTGGAAAGACGGTCGTGACTATATATGTTGATAATAATAATTATTATTATCATTAGATAATGATAATGATCATAATGATGATGCGCGCGCATTCGTGACAGAGGCCGATGAGGAATGAGGAAAGACGGTCGTGACTATATATGGTAATTCTGGGCATTCTGGCAGTTTTCAAATTGAATATTGACGGGTACCTACCGGGTATTTAAGGTTGGTAAAATTTGTGTTGGAGACTTCTAGTACAGGGAGGTCCTCCATAGTTCAGGTATTTTTTTACTTGGGGCAATGTATATGTATATTAAGATTAGTTCTTAAGTTTGTAAATTTGATAGAATGGTAGTTTTTAAACTCACAATTCTACCCAATTTACTGGAATTAGCTAGTTCTGCAAAAGTTTGTTTTTAAAACATTTTTTTTAAATTAAAATTTCAGAAATTTAATTTAAAATATTATTCGTAGTTCTATGGGAATGCTATCTGAGAGTTTTTTTTTCAAAGCAATACTTTGTTTCTTTAAAAATTTAAAAAATAAAAAACTCAATTATTGCATAGAAGGAATTAGCCAGTTTTGTAAAACTGCTCTTCAATTATCCTATTTTCACAATTGTGTATTATAAAATTTTTATTTTTATTTTTGTGATTTCTTTTTTTGAATATCTTTAATTGTCATTTATATATTCACTAGACGAATGGCCCGGGCAACGCCCGGGTTTTACCCGAGTGCGTATATATTTTAAAAACGTTTTAATTCAAATACTATTCGTTACAATTATAAATTGGCGCCATGGATGTCACTCTTGTGAAACGTCCCGTTCCAAACTGTGTGTTTTTAAAATGTTTTAATTAAAATACTATTCGTTACAATTATAAATTGGCGCCGTGGATGTCTCTCTTGTGAAACGTCCCGCCCCAAACTGTGTGTGTCTTGAAAATATAAAAATAAAAATGTGAATTTTCATAAAGATTTCATCATGTCGATTTTTTTTTGCATTTCACCTACTAAATCGATAGAGATAATTACATTTGCAACATGAACTTAGGTATATTGACTAAATAGAAAACTGCATAGTAATAAAGATCATTTTTTAAAGGCACCATATCGTTTTCTTTTCAATAAAATCGAAACAAAAATTAACGATAAAAATAACGATAATTGCCTTAAAAAGAAATTGCCTTAAAAAAAAAGAAACATTCGCGGTGATTTTGTCTTGCATTCGTTTATACAATTATTATATACGAATGACCCAGGCAACGCCCGGGTTTTACCCGATTAAATGCTTTTATTCAAATACTATTCGTTACAAATATAAATTGGCGCCGTGGATGTCATTCTTGTATAATATATAAATGAGTTTTAAAAATTGTAAAAAAAAAAAAAAAATGCATCGGCCGGGAATCGAACCCGGGCCGCCCGCGTGGCAGGCGAGCATTCTACCACTGAACCACCGATGGTTATGAAAATTCCCATCCGTGAGCTTCAGACAAACAAACAGACAGAATAAGGCAAATATATAAGTAGATACGAATGACCCGGGCAACGCCCGGGTTTTGCCCGATTAAATGCTTTTATTCAAATACTATTCGTTACAATTATAAATTGGCGCCGTGGATGTCATTCTTGTCTCTATCTCTATATCTCTATCTCTATATATATATAAAAGTCAATTTCTGTCTGTCTGTCTGTTTCGCGATAAACTCAAAAACTACTGAACCAATTGGTACCAAATTTTGCATGTCGCTTTTTATAAACCTGAGGAAAATTTTCGGCTGCATTTTGATTAGTATTTTTAGCTATTTCTTTTTTTCATTTGAAGAACTTTTTTTACGCGGACTAATCCGGAATGGAATGAATACCTAAATATGGCCATTTTTTTAAAGCATCGGTGGTTCAGTGGTAGAATGCTCGCCTGCCACGCGGGCGGCCAGGGTTCGATTCCCGGCCGATTCATTTTTTTAAAACAATTTTTAAAACTCATTTATATTATATCTTTTATATATATAAAAATGAATGTTTGTATGTTTGTTTGTTTGTTTGTTGGTTTGTATGTCCGGTATACAAATTCGCAGTAGTTCACTAATTCAAACCAAATTTCCATACATAGGTAAAAAAATACGGGGAAGACGATAGACTATTTTAAAAAATATATAAATTAATTATTAAAACTATATATTATTAGTCAGAAAATGATGATGACGATATTGCCGTATCATGTAAGATTATCAGATACAAAATTATATCGGGAAAAATTCCAAAAAGCAGAGACCACGGGTGAAACCAGCTCATTATTTTGTACGCAGGAACAAAATTCCAACAGAAAAACATTCATTCGAGCAGAAAACAAAAGCCAGATCATCTTTCTATAAAAATATCGCTTCTCAGACACAAAGTTTGGAGCGGGACGTTTCACAAGAGTGACATCCACGCCGCCAATTTATAATTGTAACGAAAAGTATTTAAATAAAAACATTTAATCGGGTAAAACCCGGGCGTTGCCCGGGTCATTCGGCTAGTATAATATATAAATGAGTTTTAAAAATTGTAAAAAAAAAAAAAAAAATGCATCGGCCGGGAATCGAACCCGGGTCGCCCGCGTGGCAGGCGAGCATTCTACCACTGAACCACCGATGGTTATGAAAAATCCCATCCGTGAGCTTCAGACAGACAAACAAACAGACAGAATAAGGCAAATATATAAGTAGATCGACTTACATTTAAAATTTCTGATTGATTTTGTTGGAGAAGAGTAACAAAAAATATCAATTTTTCTTTCAATAATATGAATTCAGTAGTGAGTGAATTAACATTTTAACGCTCACTTTTAATCCATAGATTTCTAAACTTTTCAGGCAAGGCAAATGGATTCGTAGCTCAACAACTCTATTCTTTGAGTAAAACACCAAAATATGGCTTCTATTCTCCAATCTGAAATCAGTTCAATAATTATAAAAAACACTTTAAAAAATTTTTTTATTTAAAATGCACTAAAAATAATAAAATAAATATTTCTGAAGTATTGCTTTTTTTTTCTGAAGGTACCATTTAACAAATAAAATAATAGACTTAGAACTAAAAAGCGGTGAGGGATAATAGCCATAGATTTGAGATTTTTGTGATTTTATATGAAGCAAATGATTAGCAAGATTACGCCTTTCATTAATTTTTTGCCTATTTAACGCATAAACGATGATCATCCCCCAAGAATAAAATAAATATTTCTGAATGTGCCATTTAACAAATAGAATAACAGAATTAGAAAAAAAGGGGTGGGGGATGATAATAATTTATTCAGCAAATTGGTATAAATTTAATGAAAGGCGTAATCTTGCTAATCATTTGCCTCATATAAAATCACAAGAATCTCAAATCCATGGCTATTATATCTCACCGCTTTTTATTTCTAAGTCTATTATTTTATTTGTTAAATGGTACCTTCAGAAAAAAAAAGCAATACTTCAGAAATATTTATTATTTTTAGTGCATTTTAAATAAAAGCTTTTTTTAAAAGTTTTTTTTATAATTAATTATTCACGCTATTTTTAGTCGTATATATGCCAGTCAAAAAAAAAAAAAGCCCTATCACTGAGACGACGTTGGCTTTAAATAGCTGCAAGCCTGCTCGTAGCAGATCGGTCAATTCCTCGTGGGAGGTCAGAAGTGACGTAAGCAAAATCCGTTACTAACAGAACTGTGTCTCTTTGCTTTTGGGAACCCTAAATTTTTTGAATTATATTACAAAGTTAGAGACACCCAGTGGATTATTGTTAGGGGATTATTGGTACATATATAAAATTTGAATTATAATTAAACAATTGATTAAATAGTTAAAAGTAACAACATACTAATTGAAAAGGGGAACTATTTAAAAAGGTGTCGTGAAATGTATGGTGGTATATTGTTACACACACACCTATATATATATATAATGAATATAAATATATGCGTGATGATATTGGAATAAGATGACTAAATTATAACAGATAAAATTAATATATTTGTTGGCATTTTTCATTTATTTGCTTGTAATTCTAAGGACGTTTTAGATAGGAATCTGAATATTTGGATTTCTAATTCCTTCCATGTCTTGAACATTTATTGAAAAAATCCTTTCGCAACCTCCAGCATTGTCGCATTTTTAGCCAAGAAAATTTGAAATTAACAGGTTCTGGGAAAAAATTGTTGTTTTTTAGGCAGAAAATGATAATGAAAATATTGCAGTATCATGTTTGATAATCAGATACAAAATTATATAGGGAAAAAATTCCAAAAGAGCAGGGACCACGGGTGAAGCGAGTTCACTTTTAGTATGCAGAAACAAAATTCTAAAAGAAAACATTCATTCGAGTAGAAGACACAAAGCCAGATCATCTATATATATAAAAATGAATGTATGTGTGTGTTTGTGTGTGTGTCAATTGACAATTAAAAAAATATTTATTGTCATCTTAGACAATATTACATTTCAAAGGCAATGAGAGAGAAAGAAGAAACGAATATATACACGAAAAAATGAAATATAATACATGTATGATACATATTTTACAAGGGGGGTGATAGGAGAAAACCTCGACGCTGGAGGGTCCTGGACCAGGCGATGAGCGGGTCCTCCACCGCTTCTCCGAGCCCAAACTGTACAAAGTAGCGATACATTCGCAATTTTGCCGACGCCAAGATGGAAAGGGCGTCGTCCTCAAGGCCGGACCCGCCGAAGATCCAAGCCTGCAGGTCAGGGGGCCGCCCTATGATGTTGAAGGCCTCTCTAATGAGGGGCCTGATGGAGGGACAGCACCAGTAACGGTGGCTGAGGGAGCGGTCGATGGACCCGCAGGCAGGACAGGAGGGGCCGACCGAGGCAGGATGGGCCGGATGGGGCAGGGCGTGGAAGGCCAACTTGAGGGCCGCGTCGGCCTCGTGGCCCGAGAAGGCGCAGCGCCGCAGCGAGGCCCAGTCGATCCTAGATGGTGGTGGACCGATGGTGGGCGACCATCTCGAGGTGAACCTTGAGATGGGCGTGGCAGCGAGGCGCGGGCGATCCAGGGCCCGTCGGGCCGAGCGGGACGTGAGGCCGTTGAGGAACGGCGTAGCCGTCCCACGCAGCACCACTGCCGCCGCAAGGGAACTGGATGAAGGCGTGGACTCCGCCCCGAAGCCAACGGCGTTCTCGGAGGTCAGCCTCCGACAGAAGGCGCCCAGGGCCGCGGCGTCAGCCAGGGCCGAGCGCGTAGGGCGGGCGATGAGGTGTTCCTCCTCGATGAGGTCCCGGACTCGGGCTCCGCTCCAGCGGGCGGGGGCCAGGAGGTCGGGAGGGCGGAGGAACCGGCAGCCGCCGATGATGGGGAGGTCCAGCAGCTGAGCCGTGGGGAGCGCCCGGTGGTTGAGGCTCAGGATGTTGGAGGCCTCCTCCCAGAGCTTCAGCAGCCGTAGACGGCGGGGCTGGAGACGGGTGCCGTCCGGTGGAGGGTGGATCCAGACCTCACCGCTTTCTACCAGCCAGCTGAAGGCATTTCTGCCTCCGCGGAGCGCGACCTGCACCCCCTTGAGGCAGGCGAGCTGGAATTGGGTTGCCAGGTCGAGGAGGCCGAGGCCTCCAATGGCAACGGGCCTCGCCATAACGGCGGCGGGAAGCCACGCCGTGTGCTCGGGCCCCCAGACGAACCTTGCTAGTCTGGCCTGCAGTTTGGCGATGGTCGGGGGTGATGGCAGGTACCCGTGCAGGTGATGCTGGATGGTGGAGCCCACCAGCGAGTTCGCCGCTCTAGCTCGTCCGACGAGTGATAGGCCGCGGGTGAAGGGCGTCCATCTGCGGCAGGCGGACTCCAGGAGGGCGAGAAGATGCTGCTACTGATGGGCTACGGAGCTTCTGGGGGCGAAGTCGAGCCCGAGGACCCTGATGGTGGTGGTCGACCAGGAGGCGCCGAGAGGGCCCTGTAGGCCGCTTCCGCTGCTGGGAGCTGCGCTGCTCTCCAGGCCTGTTGGGCTGCCTTGCAGCGTGCTCAGGTAAAGTTGAGCCGCGGCGCCTCTTCTTGCCCTTCACGACTGTGTAGCCGTCGTTGGCGTCTTCCTCCGCCATCTCGCTGTCGGCCCAGTTGAGCGAGGCCGGGCTAGCTGGAGTTGCGCTGGTCGTAGCAGCAGTCCTCGGCGCCGTGACGTCACCACGCGCGGCGGCCGGATTTACATGCTTAACGCCTACCGGCGAATTTGCATGTCCTTGAGTTTCAATTGTAGAATTTTCTATGGATGAATTCTCTACAATTCTGCTTTTCGGCGATATCTCCTCGCCCGCTTGAGTTAGGATGCTGGGCCTTTCAGGCACATGTTCAGCAGAGCCTGGGCTACCCTTCGGTGCCAAATTCGCCATGTCTACAGACTTCTACACCCACGCCAGAGGCGAAAACGGCGGAGCTCGCGAAAGCGTGTCCGCACGCCCGAGTGTGTGTGGTGTGTCTGTCCTTTATGCCTGACCAAACCACTCATTGGAACGCCATGAAACTTTGGGAAGTTATTTAGTATAGTACTGGGAATGTTTCTAGCAAATAAAATTTTTGAAATAACTTTTCGCCTAAAAATAATCAAGATGAATATTCTAACTTATCTGTTATAATTAAACAATCTGCTCTAAATATTATCATGCATATAGGAAAAAATGATTATATGCTTCTTCTTTATGCCGGACCAAACTACTCATTTCATTGCAATCTAACTTTGAGAAATTGTTTAATATACTACCAGAAAGGTTTCTATCTAATTATTAGTTTGAAAAACCTTTTTTTTTTAAATAAGGATAAATATTAATTAATCTGTTATTTTTTCAGCACTCTGATTTATTATCTCTGTATTATTATCTTCTATATATATAAAAATGAATGTATGTGTGTGTGTGTGTCTGTTTGTCCTTTATGCCTGACCAAACCACTCATTGGAACGCCATGAAACTTTGGGAAGTTATTTAG